ATTAATCGAGACGCTGTAACTTGACGCTACTATCATTGGCTGCATCAACAATTGACTATATTATCATACGTCACGTACTTTATATTACTGTGCACAACACATATAAGTAATGAGTGTAATAACATCGCACTTTTTGCTGATAGCTATTATATAACATCGCGACGATCCTGTTTCATGCGGTGTCCAAAGCATTCACTGTAAATTCTGTCTTCATTTGTCTCGATTATATACGATGAAACATATTCCAGTTACATTAGATATAGGATATAAATCTTACATATAAAATATCGAATTTTTAAAATTTTAGTTTTATATTTTGATTTTGCAAAGTAAATATTTTTTGATAATCAAGTGTCGTGTATCACGGTAAAGTAATATGTTTTTTTACAAAAGGAATTTTTTGTTGTAATTAATAGTAATAGTAATTTATGAAAATAATTTGTACAAAAACTTGAGAAATTTCTATAACATTTCTTTATAATTTTAAAATTAAATATTATATTATATATTATGTTATATTAAATATTATATTCGTATTGAAAATCTAAACTTTCTCAATTTCAAATATACGTTACATCATGTGCAACGGATCGCACACGTAAGTTCGGGGCGAGTGCGTACGTGAATTCTTGAACGTACGCATTTTCTTCGGAGCAGGTATATCCCTAAAATACATATGTCTGAATTATGCTTGTCCTTGCCGAAAAATAACTAAAATGTCCCATATGTGTATCATATGTTGGCTGATCCATATGTATATCGTATGTTAGTTCATATTAACATATGATAACACGAATGCCATTTTAGTTGCAGCTTCTTTGGTCAATTTAGAGATTGATTTTTTCATTGTAAGAAAGATATCGATGGTGATTATTATTTATTGTGAAATACCTTCTTATCCAAAAGAGGATATGCAATCAAAGAATATATCGTTATGATAACCTTAATGAAATAATGATATCGGGTCGTGGCAATCTTATCTAAAATGATATGCGGATTTTGATTGTCGGTGAGATAATTAATGCAAGAAAAAACAAGAAATTACATGTATATGCGAACTTCTTTGTTCAAACGATGTTTCGATATTTATCAAAACGCGTATAAAACCGGATGTTTCCGTTTGAATATAAATCCGTAAGATAAACAATATAATTGAGTACTATTGTTATCGCATTTATTATGCACCGATTATCAATTATAGCTTTATCGAGGGTTCTCGTCATCGAGCCCGCAAGTTAAAAAACATCTTGTTCGTTTCGATGTTTATAAATAAAACCGGATTTTTTTTAAACAAATTACTCCGTTATTGTGAAGAAGAGATTACTATAAATTATTTACAAAATCTATTTTCCTACTATATTATCACATACACGTACATATTTTTAATAATAATAATAGTAAAAAAGCAAATTTTTTTAATAAACATACTTTACAATTAAAATACGTATGCACATAAATATATAAGTAAAATACATGATTGGTTGTCGTATTTTAAAAGTATTTATTTTTATAAGCACATAAATATTTTATTAAATAAATATTTTAATAAATATAATAACCAACTACTACTTTTACTTATATATGAATACGTATTTTAATAGTGGAGAGCATATTCATTTAAAAAAAAATGTGCTTCTTACGAAAGTATAGTTCTTACAATAATTCATGATTATCTAATTATTTCAAATGCAAAAAATGAAATTGCGTCAATAACAATGACTCTAAACAACAGTCGCTATCTTGTCAGTCGTTGTTTATCAGTTCGGCTTATGGACAGCTTAGAGAGGTATACGTTTAATTCAGGAAAGACTAACTGATAAAGTAATTCTTTTCGCAGAATCACAGATAACGTAATAACTACATATAAATTATATTGGCAATATTTATCAATTGCACACTACAGGATGTAAAAAATCTCAAAATTCGAAACAATTTTCAGTATTATTAAAGATTGTAATTATAAGGTACAACTAAAAAAAATTGTTTTTGTAATACAATATATAATTAATTATTTAATTATTTTTAATTATTTTTTAATTATTTATTATCTAATATATATATTCATTCATACCATAATTTTCTAAAGCTGTTAAGAGGATATAGAATATAGATAAAGAAAGAAAGAGATAAAAGAGTATATAAAAGAAAAGAATTTATAAATTTGTATAAAGCAAATTTTTTTAATAAACATACTTTACAATTAAAATACGTATGCACATAAATATATAAGTAAAATACATGATTGGTTGTCGTATTTTAAAAATATAATAACTGACTATGTATTTTACTTATATATGGATACGTATTTTAATAGTGGAGAGCATATTCATTTAAAAAAATGTGCTTCTTACGAAAGTATAGTTCTTACAATAATTCATGATAATCTAATTATTTCAAATGCAAAAAATGAAATTGCGTCAATAACAATGATTAAACAACAGTCGCTATCTTGTCAGTCGTTGTTTATCAATTCGGCTTATATTTATGGACAGCTTAGAGAGGTATAAGTCTAACTCAGGAAATACTAACTGAGCATGAAGTAATTCTTTTCGCAGAATCAGAGATAACGTAATGCTACATATAAATTATATTGGCAATATTTATCAATTGCACACGATGTAAAAAATCTCAAAATTCAAAACAATTTTCAGTATTATTAAAGACTGTAATTATAAGGTACAACTAAAAAAAAATTGTTTTTGTAATACAATGTATAATTAATTATTTTTAATTATTTTTTAATTATTTATTATCTAATATATATATATATATTCATTCATACCATAATTTTCTAAAGCTGTTAAGAGGATATAGAATATAGATAAAGAAAGAAAGAGATAAAAGAGTGTATAAAAGAAAAGAATTTATAAATTTGTATAAAGTATAACAGATATTTAAAAAAATAAATGAGAAGATATAACTTTGCAAGAGAAAAATACAGAAGTTGTTACTGAAAAGAACAGAAAACTTTATAAGACACAATACAAAGTCTCTTTAACCGAAGAGACTCGATGACATCACTAACGAAGGATTGAACGGGCGAGCCCCTGAAGCCGTCCAATCACGACTCGACTTTCACTCCTTCGTATTCGAATCTACTGAAATGTTGCATCATTCTTTAAATTTAAAAGTTCTGTCTCGCACAACATATTTCATCATAGTGACGCAATTAGCTTCATAAATTTCTCGATATCAATTAATTATAGTCATACATATCTCTGTTATTTAATGATGCTAATTGAAACTTGCTCAAAATAAAGTGTTTTTCACTCACCAGAATAATCCAAATTAATCTGAATTATTACAGATGTTTTACATAATACTGGCACCAAGAATTATATTAAAGAATTATATAAAGTTTTAACAATAAGAATTAAATATTTAATCATTTCCGCAATTCAACGCAATATTTCATCAAATATTAAACTCAATAATATATTTAAATTAATTAATTTTTATAACTATTCAAATGGTTTGTTACATAGTTTGTTTTGAATATAAAAAATTTTTTGGTTCTCTTTCTCTATTGTTCTTTCTCTTTCTCATTTTTCCTTCTTTTTATAAAAAAATTTGGTTTTTTTCTGAAATAATTAAATAAAACGACCCAAAAGATGGAAATAATGCATCCTATTATATGGAATAATTAATGAAAAGAATAATTAAATGTCGGTTGGTCAATCAATTTATTACTGATATCAATTATACTAATGTAATAATTTCAGAGAATAATCGTTTCAAAAAGTATTTGACCTGTTTGCCCTTGCAAAGGCGAGCCTCCATCTTAACAAGAGGGGAAAGTCACCCCTCTTTCTCCGCTATCATTGCCACCCCACGCACATCCCTTTCCATCTCTAACAGATTTTACAGTGCCGACTCATGACGCTAATATTTGGGCGATCTTTATTTTACGATATCCATATATATATTTAATCACAAATTAAGATGTGACTAAAATTCAAATGAAAATCCTAAATATACCATAAAGTATTTTTAAAATAAAATTTTTATGAAGCAGTATTTTATTATGAACCAAGTAAAATTAAAAATAAAATTAAAGATAAAAATTTGATATTATAAATTGTTTAAATATTACTGCTAAGTTTATCATTTTATTAAATTTTTTATTTAATTAAATATACTTATTTATTAAATTCACATAATTCACAATAAAATAATTTAGAAAGAGTAATTTCATACATTTTTTTATATAAAATTTATTATATAAAATATATTATTATATAAAATTAATTTAAATAATATTTTAATTAAAAGAAATTTTTTAAATATATTAAGAACGCATGTATAATTATTCAATTAAATCACAATTTAAGCTTATTTAAATTAAATAAAAATTATTTAGTCTCGATTAAAAAAAAATTCAGATAAATAAAATATTCTTATAATTATGCAATAAAAATGTAAGTTTCAAAAATATATTTGTACAGACAAAAATATGAAAATAATAATCAATAAATAAATCTTAAAGCGCTTGCAAACTTTTACAATTTTCGATGTTACGAATTTAGGGATTATCTCTCTCACTCTCTCTCTCTCTCTCTTTCGTTAATCGTATTAATTATATATAATTTATACATTCCTATGTTTATAATAATTATACGTATATAATACATTGTTTCATATAGTATGTTTTTCAAAATAATATAAAAAATAAAACATAATAATCTGAAAGAAACTGAAAAGGATAAAATCATCAGACAAAAATCTTAAGATAATCGAATAAAAAAAAGAATTTACTTTAGGATTTTAAAATTGAATCTATCGAGATTCGATATTTGATATATGCAACGAATTCATAAAATAAAATATTCCGTCAAATATCTTCAGAAAAGCAATATTTTTTGCATCAGTTAGAAAAATCACGGGCGAATCAAAGGAACAAGTCCATCACTGATACCATTGCCTCCTCCATGGCCTCCTTTTGCCCCACTGTAGACAAGTTCCATTCCCTCCACCAGAATCGTTCTCGTGGGGAACAAGCGCCGTCGTTCCAGGCAGTCGCGATATAAAGTTCACAGAGATATCTAGTAACTCTTGTGTATCTATCAGAAGTCGAAAAAACTTCACTTCCTAGTTGAGCTAAACTAGTAGCTCTATTCGATAACATTTACGAAGCCAACTACGTAAAAAAAACGTCACGACACGTGATCTAATTTGCGCCTTTCCGCTGATCATTCTAATCAGCAACCACGAAGCTGCTCGAGGGCTGCGCTGCCGAGTGCGAGGTTGGGAGGGCCATGAAGACATCTACATTATTGTGCAGTGACTTGATCAAGCAGGAGGTGAGCAAGTGATTGAAAAATGGAAGGTTAACAAAAATTTAGAGGGTAAAATGTGTATCTGTGTCTCTGTGTATGTCTGTAGTGTGACATCATATGTACTTGGATTGGAGGATGTTTAAAAAAAATTCGGTAAGTTAGGAGCAGAAACAGAAACGTTATCGATTAAGAAAATAGATGAGAAAGATTTTTGATATCTTTTATATGATTGTAATCGTTACATATTAGCGTATAATTTTCCATTTTAAATTAGATAACATACACATATGTTTCATTTGTCATTTTAAATTTTGTTAAAACTATATCATATTATTTATCACGAGAAAAAAATGAAATGAGAATAGAAAATCGTGATCAATTTTGTGTGAAAAACGTGATAATTTTTTTTAAGTGAATTATATATTTCGAGTATTGAAAAATATATTAAAAGAGCAAAGTGCTTTATATATAAAGTATTATGAGTACTTTTAAATTAGAAGTCGTTCGAGGGAAAGTCAAAAGGTTAGAAGTGAGACTCGAAACATGAGATCGGAAAAAATTATTATTATTTGTTTCTTTAGTGTTTTAAAATTAATTGTGTCTCAAATATAAAACTATAAAATTAACAATAAAAGTCGTTTGAAAAAAATCAAAAGGTTAGAAATGAAATTCGAGATATGAGATCAGAAAATAATAATAACAATTATTATTATTTATTCCTTCAGCATTCTGAAATTAATTACCTCAAATAAAAAACGAAAATATTAACAACAATTCTACAGAATAAAAAGAGCCATATTGTGTTGTATGTAAAATTTTATATTTTTTTAAACATCTCTATCTTTTATGGAACATTTTTTATGCATTTCTTTTAAGTATAATATATCACATTAAAATAATATGATTTTTTTCTAAAGATATACTTTTGTATATATATTATATATATATTTAATGTGAATAGTATTCGAGAAAAATCTAGAAAATTAATGAAGCAAAATTTAAAAGATTTAAAAAAATTATTTTTTTGCAGCGTAAAACATTGCTATATTAAAAGATGATTGCATATGTATGTATGTTTGTGTGAAATGTAACGTTTGTTTAGAGATTAGAGATCCTACAAAAAGAAGGTTAGGTAAAAGATTTGTGATAGCATAGTGGACCATTACTTAGAAAATTATTAGGAAATAATGTAATCTACATTGGAATGTATCGAAAAAAAATGAAAAATGCTGGAGGACCAAATTTGATAGATAAGATTGGAGCTAAGGTTAAAAAAGTGCGAAAGAAAGTTGGGAGATGGAAGAGGAAAAGAAATGAGAATGGTATAGTATCTTTACATGATTGTAAAAAAACAAAAGAAATTTCTTGTCCATTTGTATGTAAATTAAGATTGTATGATGTAAGAGGTGAAAGGTGAGGGACAAAGTTAGATGAATAATAAAAAGACTAAGTAGACAATAAAAAATAAAAAAATGTTTAAATAATAAAACAAAAAGACAAATTGAAAAAAAAACATAGAATGCAGTAATGATCAATAATTTTTGATATTGTCATTATCAAAATTAAAACGTCGATAGAGAACAAAATGAGAATAGAAGCGAAGTTTTCAAGATGTAAAATAAAAATTTGCTATCACTAATCTGAAACAAATGTGTATATATGTATTTGTGAAAATATAGAATGATAAATCGATTTTTTAAATTTTAATTATGCAAGTTAAAATGCTAAAATAAAGAAAGGAGTTTGAGAGACAGCAAAAAAATATCATAAAAAAATACAACAACAATAATAATAGATTGAATAATAAACGATAGTACAAATCGTGATAATTTTATTCCTGAAATATTGGGGAATTTTATATATAAATAAATTCCTTCTTAAATATATTTGCTTCTTCTGGAAATTTTGGGAATTTAAACGAGTGGAAAAAACCACTTCGATAAAATTAAGTGAAATTATCTTAGGATTATATCGAATTGCATATCAGTTTAATCGTTCAATATTGGAAAGATGTATGTAATTCAAAATTCGTCATTTATTTTTCTCTAAAAATCTATGAAGATAAAAAAATTATTAAAAATTGCAATCATATAAAATTTTTAGGAAACAAGAGCTTAGGTATGAAATTATAATCACATGTATAAAACGGAGATATTACAACACAGTGGAATTAATCTCGCTGAAGAAATGTAAACCGCGTCTCTTTTAAATGTCAACGATGACGACATCAATAACGCGATAACGGAATCATTTGATTGTATTCATCGAGAACCATGTCGAGCCTTTTCTTATCTTGTGATATATGCAAGTAATAAACAAACAGGAGATGATTTAATAGCTTTTACTGCTATAAAATACAATGAGCAAACGACATTCTGTTAATTAAAAGAACGAAAATAATAATCTCGCGTTCAATCTTTATCTCGTTTCAATTTTTGTTTGAATTTGTACTGAAAAACAGAATTTATTAAAACAATATATATGGTGTATATATTATATTGAATAATTATATCAATGATTACAATATCAATACAATAACTGATGACAAGAAAATATATTTTCCGGAAACAGTTCTATCTATATTGATTATTTATGCCATCAGGTAATTAATATACGTATGCAATCACATAATTGTTCAGAAATAATGAAAAGGTGATCGATTATGATGTATTCAATATTTTTATTTTTTCTTTGATTGTTAACATATGATAATATTTATATTCTACATTTTAAAAAATAATATTTGCAACAAATATTTAAAATAAAAGACTAATTAATATTAAATAATAAAAAAAAGGATTGTGTTCTCAGAAAAAAAATTATGTTTTAATTATGCATCAAAGTTTCTTCTATTTATGAAAAAATATCAAATATTCTATATTAATTCAATAAAATTAAGTAGAATTAATAAGTAGAATTAATAATTATATTTAGAATTTATGATATGTTATGTTTATTGATTGATAAAATGACGTCCATTTTCCATATATTTCAGAATAATAATGACCTATGCAACAGGTATCGCCCACGAAGGATTAAGAAATAAAATTGTATTAAAAAACAACTTAATTTAGATAAAATTTCCTGTTGGAAATTATTAAGCTCACATGCCCATTAGCTTATTATATAATCAGGGACTTTGCTTTCGTCAGAATTTATGATATTAGGATGTACTGCCAATATGCTAGCGAGTTGTAAAAAAAGTTAACTGAAATTCTCAGCACATTATGCCACGTGCATTATCTACTATGCGCTCTTTTGCATATCATGCTTGTATTCAGTATAGTCAGTACATTTGCGTGAGTATTGCACATTCATCTATGTTATTCATTCATGATAAATTCTATTGGCCAGCGAGCGGGTGTGTCAGTGACGTCATAGATCGATGTTTCATTCTTGGTGGGAGGAAGAGTACAACAAATTGGCGGGAAATATGATATTTGCAATATATCTTCCAATTGTTTTCAAGTATATTTTTGTGTTGAATAAAATATATCTTCAACTTTTGTTGAATAAATACATAATCAAATTCAAAATAACAGAATAGTTTATATAAGAGTAGAGTAGTTTATATAAAAAAGTAGTTTATATAAAAAATGGAAAGAGAAATATACTATCTAAATTAGTAATTCTTCTATTCCTTCTTCAAATAAGAAAAAATTTTTAAATATATAAATATAATCACTAAATAAAATTATAAACAAATAAAAAAGAAAATAAAGTAAAAACAGGAGAAACAATATATATAAATATAAAAATGCATAAATGTTGTTATCAATAAATAATTATATATATATATATATATATATATATATATATATATAATTATATATAAAATTATTTATTATATATAAAATTATTTATACACGTATAATATAGAACGTTTTTCATTTAAACAGAATTAATATATAAAAAGAATCAATATATATAATGTAGCTTAATTTAGATAAAATTTCAAATAAAGTCGATTTCGAAATAAATATTTATTAGCCCAAGAAATCTTAAAATTTTTGACAAGTTTGGGATATCCCATGGAAATAACAGTCTCTCGCTTGATGTCGAGAAATCGATTGAGAGAAGATCGATCGTCTCTCGTGTTAAAAATTTCTCGATGTTATATGCGCATCAATAGGAGCAAGAACATTATGCAACGTTTCGTGGTCGCGTACGCGACGCGCATGGTATCGAAGGACGACACAAGGTCACCCAATAACACTGCCGTACGGATCGATAACGAGCCTCATCATTCGTTTCTTTATCCGCAGATACGAGATGCCTGCAAGGACCTCGTCCTGTCTGATGATCAGCTCCAACTCGTCATGCAAAAGCTCACTGACGAGATAAATGCTGGCTTATCAAGGACAACTCACGATGATTCAGTCGTCAAGTGTTTCACCACTTACGTGCAGGATCTGCCCAATGGCACCGGTAAATAAAAAAATGCGTTTTGCTATAACTATTACAAAAAAGTCGCATTATATTTCCCAGCTTTCTCACAATCACAAAAGAAAGGAAAAAAGTTCAAAATAAAATTAAATTTTTACAAAACACAGCATAATTCATGTTATTAAAAAGCAAGTAATTTTTTCATGTAAAAAACAAATTGAAAACATAAAGAAAAAATTTCTTCGCATATTTTAATCTTTCATACATCATATCTTAAAGTTTCCTTTACGAGAAAATTGAAAATAAAATTGTCATGTACGATTGTATTTCATGTAGGACTGGAGAAGTCATTATGAACATTTTGCTTTGTCTATTAAAGATATTTACAATTATTGGGATACTTATGTCAAATTACTATTAAACGTTTATTTGTAGAGAACGGCAATTTCCTGGCACTGGATTTGGGTGGTACAAATTTCAGAGTATTGTTAATCACACTGGAAGGCCAAAAATCCGACATGAAAAGCAAAATCTACGCGATACCACAGAGTTTGATGCTGGGAACCGGTACCCAATTATTCGATCACATCGCTCAATGTTTGGCATTGTTTATAAAAGATCTCAATCTACAGAATGAGATACTGCCATTAGGCTTCACCTTCAGTTTTCCTCTGAAGCAATACGGATTGACAAAGGGTAACTTGGTGAGATGGACTAAGGGATTCAATTGCAGTGGTGTGATCGGCGAAAATGTTGTTGCCCTTCTCGAAGAAGCAATTAGTAGAAGAAAAGTAAGTGCGAAAGCAATCATATTATCATAAGCAAAAAATAGACGAGCATTTTAATATAGTTTGATATTATGATAATTTAGGGAGATCAAAAAAGAAAATATAAAAAAAGCATCGATTGCATTTAGTGATGGATTATAAAATATTTGCTTTCTTTATGTGTGTCTACATATATGTGAAATGTTAATTAAATATAATTCTAACATTTTCCCTTTATAGAAGATTGAGAAACAATTAAGAAGCAAAATATTTTAGAATAATTGCAATTTATATTCAAATATTAATTTCAATTTTCTTAATTTATTAATATATTATAAATAAACTACTTATTAATTAACCTTTATAAAATACATTACGCTTGTAAAAGATAACATTTTTTTCATATAGATGTGTATGTGTAATCTAATATTAATAATATAATTATTAATATATATCTCATACACAATTTAATTAGTCAATATTTTCCGTAGGATGTTAAAATCGACGTATGCGCAATTCTAAATGACACCACCGGCACCTTAATGTCATGTGCTTTCAAAAATCAAAACTGCAGAATTGGTTTAATTGTCGGTACGTATGCAATATTTAATTTTGTATTAATAAGGAAATTTCGTACAATATAAATATTCACTATAATGTTCACTATAATGTTCACTATATCACTATAATGTTACTAATATTAGATGAATATCAGATGAATCAATCATATATTTTAATTTAGATAATTTTATCTGTAAATTTAATACAGACTAAATAATCAAACTACCTAGGGACAGAAAATTGTTCAAGAATTGAGAACAAATTTATTGAACTCTTTCTCCTTCTCTCTCTCTTTCTTTCTGTTTTTCTTTATAAATTCATTATAAATCAGAATAAAATTTTCTGCATTTAAAGGTACTGGATTCAATGCCTGCTACGTCGAGAAAACGAAGAATGCGGAGTGTGCAATTCCGGGCAACTATGATAAAAATAAGGCCCATATGCTCATCAACACAGAATGGGGTGCATTTGGTGAAAGGGGTGTGCTGGATTTCATAATAACTGAATTTGATCGTGCAATAGATGAAAATTCTATTAATCCGACGAAACAACTATTTGAGAAGATGATCTCGGGGATGTACATGGGTGAACTGGCAAGACTAGTGCTCGAAAAATTAGTAAATGCCGGTCTTCTATTCGGTGGCAAATGCCCAAGTGATCTCAGAAAGCGCGGAAAATTCTTCACCAAATACGTCTCCGAGATTGAAAAGTAAGTACGAATTGAATTTAGATATCACCATCATTCAAGTCATCAAAGGCGTTCGATTCATAGTATAATTAATCATACAGATTTGCTATTTATTAAGAATTAAGTCTAGTGACAGGCTAAAATAAGTCGTCGCGAGTGATTAATTGAGAGTTAAGATGCAAAAATTTCGAAAGATCGGATATTATATAATATTTATGAGTTTTTTTAGCGATCCTAAGGGAAGATACACGAACTGTCGGGAAATATTGGCCGAACTGGGACTGCGAAATGTGAGCGATCAGGATTGCGAGAACGTGAGATACGTTTGTTCAGTAGTGTCCAGAAGAGCGGCGCATTTGGTGAGCGCAGGAATAGCGACGTTACTGAATAAAATGAGCGAAGATAATGTAACTGTGGGCATCGACGGTTCGGTGTATCGATTCCACCCGCACTTCCACGATCTCATGACAGCGAAAATTAGCGAACTCCAGCCTTACAAGGTGAGAATAATGATGAATCATAACGAAAGATGAGAGAGATGTATAACATTGATAACGTCGCAGAGATATGCAATATATAGAACAAAAATGCAATATGTAGAATATAGATTTTCATATTTGGGGAAATCAGATGAAATGCTCTATTATAATGAACATAACATTTCAATTTCCAATGATTTTCAATAAAAATTCCTTTTTTGTTATAGTTCGATCTAATGCTTTCGCACGATGGCAGTGGTCGTGGTGCAGCTTTGGTCGCTGCAGTTGCATCACAGAGGCGGTGAAGACGCGGTTGTCGGTAGCGAGATAGAATTCAATTATATGTAACATAAAACCGACACAGACGATGGTACGAGAGTTGATTTGAATGAATGATGAGCGAGTGAATACGAGTGCGAGCGTTGAAGAGAAATTACGACTTTTCTCTACGTTTTAGAAGCATTTTCTACACTGTGTGTGTCCTTCTTTCTTTAAATTCATTTAAAATTATTATAAGATCATTATTCTAAGTTTCTGCACTCTTGAATAATTTGCTAGTCGAAAAAATTTGTGGAAAATGTCTAGGCAAGCATAATTATACTATGGACTTTTCTTCAAAATATTTTAAAGTGTATACATATATATATATATATATATATATATATATATATATATATATACACATGTATATGTACATTTGTCTTATTTTGAGTGTAGAAAATGCAGTTTTAGAACGAATGGACAGAAAAATTGTGCGACGAATAATTCTTGTACATAGAGCACAAAAGTTATAACTTAGTGTATTAGAGTATTAAGTGAATACTTAATGTTCTTTCAAGAAATCAGGAGAGAAAAATCGAGGACATAGATATCCTTTCTGCGGCAGTCAAGTACAATATTCGCTAATTAGCGTGATCCGTTAATTCGCATGTTACTATAATTAGTTTAATTATCTCGTGATTGTTCAATGAGAAATTAGTGAGAAAAAATTAGAAAAAAAAGGTATGTGCGAACAAATCGAAAAACTGTCGGATGAATTTAACTGGCAGAAGAATGTCGAATATAACTTGTTGTTAACAAATATCAACGAGTGCAAACGAATTAAATCGATGATATGCTAAATTGATCACGTGACATCGTATCGATTGTGAAAAACAACAAGGAATTGATAGATTCGAGAATAAACACAGTTCTTTATCGATATTTAATTGAGTACTGCTTTAGTTGATCCTTTCATTTCACTATACAGAATATCCCAAAGCAAATATCTTCTACACATTTTTCAAGCGATTTTTTTCTCAATAAATACATAAGTATCTTTGTTATAGTTTTCGAATAATTAATAGTTAATAAGAAAGAGTTAAACGCCACAATAAAAAAATAAAAAATCACAAAATCATAAATTATAATCTTTAATCTTAATTTTAAATGGAATATTAAAAGAAATATTGTAATTGTGATTTATTTTATTTTGAAAATATTTTTGAATTACTTTAATAAAATCTTAATTTAAAGCATAACTATAAAAAAGAATAATATTAAAAATAATATTTAAAAGAGTATAAGATTATCATTCTTGTACTATATTAAAATTTTAAAAGCTAACTTTTTTTATTATACATGATGTATGCATGATTATATAATCATTCTATTGTTCATTTATTATTCATTTGTATGACATGTTAGATAAAGAAGAATTTTGTTTCTTGTGTTGATTGAATGTACTTTCTTATCTTTATTGCGATAAAGTTTGACGAGACCAATGATAAATCTTTAAGTTTTACAAACTACATTAGTATGTTAACCATTTTCAACTACACTGCGTATATTTGGTAATCTTAAAGTTTGAAAATTTTAGTTCTATTTTGCAAGTTACGCAAATTTTTGTTGTTGCTATGTTACGACAATTGCAAACACTCAAGTTGGTGAGTATTTAGAGATTTAGAATAAAATCGCGAAAATTATTGAAGTATGATACGTCAAAGTGTATGACACACATGCACACATCAATACACCTGTTTTTAAATAATATTACTGCAAGCAAAAGTTTATTCAACAGCATTCATTATCTGTAAATTTACATGTAAGGAAAAAAGATTTTGAGGATATTTTAAAAATGTTGGAAGAAAATAAAATAGTAAATTTTACAATAAATTAAGTATTAACTACGTGCTGTATATATATTAAATTAAGAAAGATGTAAAATATGAAATATAAAATCGAACAGAGCGATAAGTAGAAAAAAATATTTCCTTACTGTTGTATAACGATTCACAGAAATTATTCAACGAAAAAATGCAAGAGAGATAATGACTAAGACAGAGACAGACAGACAGAGAGAGAGAGAGAGAGAGAGAGAGAGAGAGAGAGAGAGAGAGAGAGAGAGAGAGAGAGAGAGAGAGAGAAAGAGAGAGAGAAAACTAAAGGCAAAACTTGCGAAATTGATTACATAAATGCGCATATATTGCCGACATTGTAGAATTCTAGAAGTGACTTTTTTACAAATAGCACGTTATTAATGTTGTTATTATGTACACGTTGATGCTGAGAATAAACAATTATAAATGTAAAAACAATTTATTTTTATTATCATGAACTTATTTTATTACTGCGATTTTAATATGAAATTTTAACTTTTAATTTGAAATGCATATTAAAAGTTTCTGTTTTTTTTCACTATTTGTATACAAAATAAATATCTTCAAATAATTGAATATTATTTCTGTAAGAAGCTATTTATAAATGTTGATATAAAAACATTATTTGAACATTCTACAAAAGCAATCCATACATTATTTTTTTTTTGGTTTATTTAAACATTTGGAATTTCAAAATCTTTTCGCTGGGCACTTTCTGCAACTACGTAATTTGATGTTTTTAATGATATTTACTCATTGTTCTATTTTAGCTAAGCTAAATAAAATTTCATTGAAATTTTGAACTATTCTCTTGAAATTCTTTTGAAATGTTTACTGTTACAGTTATTTGTATTACAAACATTCTTATATAAAACGCGCATTCGCGTGAAGATATTTATTCAGCTGTATTGCCGTAATATATTTATAATATGCGTGACGTTAATGTGAATTCACATTCAAAATCAAGGACACTTTAATGAAGCAATTGAATGATAGAATTAATTATGTATGGAAAAAAAATTATACTTCTTAAATATAACAGAAAAGCGTAAGTGCATCGAACGTCATTAACATCCATCCGATTGACACACAACTGAATCGTGCTCTCTGAATTTATTTACGACACCGGGTATAATTTTTCGAACACATACGTGAGTTCAGTGTCGCCACCTGGTGCATCTTCGATCGTTCAACATCACGGGACACGTCAAAGTTGCGGTTCGTGGCCGCTATCGGAAAATTTATTCCTCACCGCGCGATGAGGCGCATCGGAACGATATTGCGCGAGAACGGCTTCCGAATTCGCGAATGAAAGCAAAAGGTGTGCACGAGTATATTTCGCGAATGAGTTAACATGATCAGCGGCATTCAGAACGCCCTGAAGAATGCCATTGACGTGGTGAGTAGAGATCAGTGGGTTACAACATCGACGTCGACGGCAAGGGCGACGAGAATGTCTCCTATCGCGCAATTACGTTCGTCCTTGCGTTTCAAGATCAAGAATTTAGTGCTATTTAATTTCGATCCTGCAGGAAACCTACAGGAAAAAATCTAATGCGTTAATCGCGGAATAATGACACTGAAAAGAGATTTTGCTCGAATAAACTTTGCATGTTTGCAGAAAATTAGTTGAATATATGTTGACAAAAAAGAGTGTTTATCAATAGACAGAATGATATATATGATCTAATAGTTAAATATATATATGCAAAAATTACTTAAATTTTTATATAATTTCTCATTCATCTAAGTAAATGTTATCTATATTAAAGAAGAATTCTTTTTTCTACAGAAATTATTATTCTAATATTTTCATAGTTGGAAACACATAATTTTCAAGTTCCAATTTTTCAGATAACATATCAAAGTATTAGATGACACATTTTTCTGACTTTTTCAATGTCCTGCAATTAAATATTGTTATATAAGAAAAAATAAAAAATAATGTGAATATATAATATAAAAAATTCTATGCTATATATATTTTTTTGCTCTAATATTTACAAAATTTTTTGTCTCACATTGAAATAAATGCATCAATTATCACAATTTAGAAAATGATATCAATCACAATTTGGAGTTAAAAAGAAATTTATACATGTACTATTTTTTCATTCCACTTTGTAATGAAAAATACAATAAAGAGAAAAATTATTTTGATTGATTGAAAATTATTTATCTGAAATATAATAAATTATTTTCTTATTCATTATTTTAATTTTAAAACTTTTTAATGACATTATATTTATTTATTTCGGTGCGTGTCAATAATTCTGTACTACAATTGCAGTTATTAATATATAATTTAAAATTGTGTCCTAAATACAAATGTAAACTTTAAAATCATTTTACTGTTTTCAAATTTCTAATATCTTAATTTATTATGTGATTCTATTTAAATCAATCTTAAGAGTAAATTACTTTACTATGATTTCTTGATTGAAAATTTATGCTATACATTTTCAGATAGCCCCTCCGGCGACGCCATTGCAAGATTTTACTTATCATTGGAAGCAATTGATGAATTTCTATGTGAGCCATTTGACCGATTGCAAGGTTCCAGTACAGAACACCAATATACCTCGACATTTGGATGTATTACTAGAAATCTTATTACAAGAAGAGAAAGAAGTAAATGAACCAGGACCTTGCTTGGAATATCTTTTACAGCACAAACTTTTGGACCTTCTAGCCACCTTAGCTAGCGCGGAAACACCGCCTGGTATGCGAACAGTTTGTCTAGTTTTCCTGAGGAAACTATTGGGTAGATCAAAATACCCTCTCTTACATCATGCATCTATCTATGCGCCTATACAACGACTCGTAGCACTTTGCAATGGAAATCCACCATCGCCAATTGAGAGTGAAGAGGTATAGTTAGCAGTAAAATTAATTTACTGCAATCTATTGAATTATATCAAATTCTTTATGAGGAAAAGTTTATTTGCGAAACAAAGAATCCATGATTATAAGATATTATAGCTATTTCACTCTGCATATCATATTTTTATATGTAGTCTGACGTTTTTTTAAAATTCAATTCTTTATTATATAAATTAGAAACTGTAGATAATTAAATGCAAAAAATTTTATATATATATATTTTTTTTTATATAGTAAAGAGATCTTGTAAATTATTTTTATATTATTTTCTTTTTACGTAAATTTCATTTTACACAAGAAATTTATCAATCAATTTAGTAAAATTTACTAAACAAATTCTGTTCTTCAAAATTTCACTAAATAAATTATGTAAACTTTTTATAAAATATAACCTAAAAAATAAGAAAATTTTCATTTTGAATTCATTTTTTTTCAAAGATTTGTAATTATTTCTTATTTTGATCTTTTTTTTCATTGTCTTCTATATATTTTAAAAATTATGTAATTATTTCAAGTATATGTTTATTCGTTTACTAGTTAATATTTATTAAAATTCATTTACTATTGTCTTTATTTCACATATTAAAAAATATTTAAAAAATGTATAAAAATATATAAAATCAAAAATGATGGAAATATTGCAATATTAATTAATATATCTAGACTGATGGCTCAGATACTGTGAACAATTTACATACAGATCATACATTCATTTACGTCTAATTTAAAAAATATTTACGCATCTACTTACTGACCTGCAAGCATTACACTGGATCACGTTTTGTGTCCGTGTCAGCGCTGGATATCAGTAGTCTCATCTGTCAGCATGGAAAGATTATCTTCGTTAGTTCGCAGAATATTGTTTCTCGAATAATTCCACACTTCCAAATTTATACACTGGCGAAATTCGATTTCAAATGCACGCGTTAACTGGCGCGAAATCCGCGTCTTCGACTAATTTCACTCTCTTTTATACTCGACTTTTTCCTAATCGGTGACGGGGCTAATTCGTGATTCCGAAATGTCACGGTACACTCATGTATACATTCTTATTCCAACTTCTCACTAACGTCTCGTGGCGAGGAGTAGTCCAGGAATAGTTTTGAGTCAGAATCTCGCAAGTTTTCTCGTCCCGCACACGCGAAAAATCACAAATTTACGCATATTTGCACGCACATCCACCGACGTGAAACAATACACTTCGAATGCGCCTTCGGCTAATTCCGTTCCTGCTCGATTGTGTTCGGTTTCGCGCCATCGGCTGAGACCCCTCGGCAATTTCAAAACGTCATTTTAGATATTCGCACGTGTACGTATCGTTTTTGCACCTTTCGATTATATTATACGGTAGATTGCCAGCTTTCCAATCACTCTGAAATCATAATGATTATCTTATTTAGGAGAAAAACATTTTCATAGATGAAGAAAATTGTAAATTACAACATGAAGTACACTAGTTGCACTTCGGCTGATTCCGCTTATCTTCGGTTGTATTCGACATCGCGCCACTGATGGAGTTCAAAATGTCTTTTGCGATATCTACTCACGTATACATATATATATATATATATATATATATATATATATATATATATATATAATACATACGTAGCAAAAGAATTTTGTTGTTGAAGCAAAATTGTTATTGCAATATTTAATAAAACAGCAATTAAAACATTTTTTGCTGTCATATGTAATCATTTATTATTAGCGAAGTTTATCGGTATATAAATAATTTTAGTGAATAAATTCATATAAAAAGAAGCGAATTTGTGCTACTAAAGCAAAATAATTTATTCTTAACAAACTATATATTTATACACAAGAGATATTTTCTTGCTGCATTAGCATGTAATAGAATCAATTTTGAAGTCTTTAATGTAATCATATCTTTGACAGAAAGAATTATATTTATCTCTAACTTAATTGCAAAGATATAACTATACAAAAAATGTCATTTCCTTTTCTAGGTGCAATTTCTGCTCACGATCTGCTTTTTGGTGTGCAAATATCCTCATGTGACCAGCATCATCAATGATGCACCGATTGTGCAGACAACCAGCAATTCCATCAAGAAAGAAAATGAGAAGACAGAGATTCAGAAGGTGACCTATGTGCCGACAAGAAGAAGAAACAATTCCAATCCCTTATTCGAGCCTTTGGATACCCAAGCAGTCACATTAATCAATCCGAATCTCTTCGACAAAGAACAGAGAAGATTGCTGCGTTCAAATAGATCTTTCAAGACAACCGCTTCATCGCAGGGCTCGTCGAGAAGATCGAACGAATCTATCTCCTCGAGGGAGGAAAGTGTATCATCGAGCCCTCTGGCTCAAAAGTCTGTTTGCGATTCGCCTTCAATAGATACAAAGAGCAATGAACAGTGGAAAGAAAAGAGACAAGAAGATTCTTCAGGAAATAAAATTGACGAACATTTGCAAAACTTGAGAGACTTGCGGTTAGACACTGATTGTAATGCTTACGATGATGCAAGTTATGTAGCGGTTGATAATCAAAGTTTGAAATCGTCACCATGTATACCAGAAAAATCCAAGTGTCTTCTATTGGACGCCCTAATGAGTTACTTAAATAGCGCGGTAAACAATATACTGTTGATCTTTTAATTATGATATAATTATGATATAACAATTGATGAGTTAATTATTGAGCTGATTTATGAACCAATAATGAGCTAACTATAATTGTAATATAAATAATATCTGATTGTGCTTTTATTGTTCGTTTTCAGGACAACACTGTAAGAATACGAGCATGCGAGGGAATAATGGTCTTGGCTTCCTTAGACGATCCTTCATTCGCGCAAACAGTGGCCAGGAGCGAGCTGCCGTCGATAGTGACAATTCGTCTGGAAAACTTGTTCAATGCTATCCCGGCACACGTAGATCACTTAGATATTTATAACGTGGATGTTACGTGGGGTCTGGACTCGCCGTTGTGGACTAAAGAGAAAAAATTCCCCGGTTGTCGGCAAGTCGCCGCATTTTTCATGTGGTTCGATTATTGCGACCAGTTAATCAGAGAGGCCCAGACGGAATTCGCCGAAACGCTGGCAAGAACCATCAGAGTGATGTTTTTTGAGAGAATAGTGACATCCGCCCTAGTCGATCATCATGTCGTACTTATCACAGCTCTAGTCACTAAATGTTTGAAAGAGATAACTTCCCCTATATTGTGCACAGGTATACAGAATAATTTGAAAATATAAAATACTATAAATGATTGTACAATAGTGTGCAGGAAATCTTAATTTTTTGAAATCTTTTTAAAAGATAGTGCAATTTATAACTAGGTTTTTCCTAATTTGATGCCGAAATTTTTGGAAATTTTGTCGATTTATCCTATCTCTGAAATTTTAACGATTTTTCAGAGGTGAGTTATTGGTTGGTCGGACAAGATAGAGATCCAGAAATACCAAATGTATGGACGTCACCAGTATTACATAGACTGATAGAGAATTGTTTTACGGATAGTAACGATTTAACAGTGGAGACACTAAAATTGTTTGAAGAGGCAATAGATAAGAGAAATGAACACATACTGCATTGTCTCATACTGATTTATCTATCAACGCGAGCATATTATGATAATACTGCCGCGGATAGTGCTATCGCCTCGTGGAGCGATGAGGAAGACGAAAGAGAAAAGGAAAAAAAGGGATTTTTAGATCTCTCCTACGAGCAGAATCACAGTCGTACCTTAGCACCGAGTAATATCCATCGAGTTATCAACTGGTAAGATAACTGTATAATGTTAAAAATTAAAAACTAATTAAAAATAAATAAGCATATATTGATTGTCAAGAATTAAAAATATACCAGTCTGTTATGCTTTTTCAGAAAATGATATAAACAAGAGAAAACTATAAATAATTCAAATGCTACAGATCTCTGACTTTTATTTCAGTTTCCTGTCATTGATGCCGCGTTACTTGCAAACAGATTGCGATGTTAACAATTACGAAAAATATATGCCAGCTTGGGAACGGCAATATTCTCTGGTACTTTCCGACTGTGCTTTGATGGCATGGCCATTGGAGGCAGTAATGGTAGATGATTCTGCAAGTTCTGATTCGCGACCGGAAGCCGACCATTGCTCAGGTCGATTCTACATGGGACCATTCCTGAGCATGCTCTTTGATAAAATCAGCAATATGCCAAGACAAACATATGAAGTCAATCTAGAAGTTACAGGATTGATCTCTAGATTGGCGTTACTGCCGCATCCGTACCTGCATGAGTTTATGCTGAATCCACTGCTACCTCTGCTACCTGGCACAAAAAGTCTATTCTTGTGTTTACAGAAAGTCATCAAACAGCTTGTCAGCGAAATACCAAAAACTGCAGAGAGTAAGACAATGCTGAAAGAAACAAGGTTAAAATTATTAGGTGATTGCTCTCAAGAGGAGTAAGTTGAATTTGATTCGTAATTAGTTAATATTTTTAGCATTTCGCAATCAAAATAAATTCCATCTTAAAATTAAATAAAAAAATAAAGTTTCACTTGCTAATTTATACTTATGAAGCTTAGTTCTTGGGAAATATTTTTTTCTGTTTGAGATTAAAGGCTAAAATAGTTCTTCACTATCATTATAAAATTAGAAAAGAAAAATTTAAATTTAAATTTGTTGAATTTGCATTATTAAAATATTTTACACTGTATATAAATTATTTCTTATCTGTTCTGATATTCATATTTCAGGGAGAAAGAAAATATTTTATATGAAAGCGCCATAGTGACAGAAGAATTTTGCAAAGATCTCGCAGCTATAGCATATGTTAAATATCATCATTCTATTTAACAAACTTTTACATACAAAAAAATTGTTAAATAGAATAATGTAACACTTAAGTAAATTATAGATGTTAATATATATTAAAGACTTAATTTACTTGTATTTTAAGTAGCAAATTCTTTTTGTGATATTTTGTAAGATACACAAATCTATAATTATATAATAAATATGCAAATACGTTTAAATTATTACTATAAAGAGTAATATTGTTTTATTTTAATAACCCAATTAACAAATTTCTGGAATATCTATTAATCTATTTAAAAATATATATATAAAGTATTTTATTTATAATACAAATGTTTATTTCATTGACATAAAAAATACACACATTATGTATGTATAAATACACATTTCTTATCTAAAATAATTACATAAGAACAAATAGCTAAAAGATAAGTAATTTATCGAGATAGAATAGAATCTACTGGAAATATGGTACATAAAATATTTTTTATATTCCCTTTTCTTTTTCAAGCTATGATCATAACCTATGTATTTCGCTTCAGCTTGAAAATTCAGCTAAATTAAGTAAAGACTATCCATTTTATTTGCATATTTTAGTAGGTTTTTTCTCTCTAATATATTTATCTATATATATCTCTATACATTTCTATTTATCTCAGTCTATACAAAAAAATGACATAAAATGATATAAAAACATACAATTTACTACGACAGATTGTTAGGTTAGTAGCTGTCACTTGATGCCACGCTATTGATCAGCTGATTCAACATTAGAATTTTCGATGGAAAGCTGGATGGAACTTAATATCAAATCTGTTATTGATAACATTGTCTTTCACCTGACTGGCGACAAATATAAAAATTCTTCAATAATCAAAATAAATAATGAAAATTTGTGCGCAAATGGAGAATTATATTTTTTGTGTAACTTTAAAGCGTGGAAGAGTATCTCAACGTGCACCAAGAATTGCACAAGTATTTTGCAACACTTCATTCACATACACGGTATGACAAGAGATGATATAGATGCAGAGGTGACAGAGGAGGTAAATAAATATTTCAAACATTGATTGTTTATATTAAAACTAACCTAATTTAAATGGACCTAAAAATATATTCGTTTTAATTGCATTTTTTATATACTTTGTACATTTGAATATTATATACTTTGTACTTGTATATTGTATAAAAAAAAATTATATATATATATATATATATATATATATATGTGTGTGTGTGTGTGTGTGTGTGTGTGTGTATATTTATGTTCAAAACATATAAAGAGAAAATAGAACAATGCAAAAAATAAAATGAATGTATTAAAATGAATAAACTTGATCTTTTTTTCTATTGTATATGAAATGTTACATTAAAGTTTGTCAAACACTCTTACATGACATAAACATATAATAATCGAATATTATGTCTACTATGATTATAAAATCTAAATTTCAGCAGATCTTCAAACAATTAATACTGAAGAGTAGCAGCTGGCCAATAAGAATACAACAATGCATGTTGCAAAGAGAAAGAGTCTGTTTATTCTTAAATCGAGAAGATATTATTACAAAGAGTATAAGAATGGTTGTCGAACATGGGATGATGTTTGGAAAAACTCAATCAACTGGTAAAACATTTAATTTGAGGTATCAGCCTGATATACAATCAGATCTTACTTCTCACAGACTGCGTCTAATAAAAAATATTGCTGCAAAGGCATTAAGTCTACATGGATATACATTATCTACTGAGGAAGATTGTGCTAACAAATATATGTTCACTAGCAAATCAGAAGGATCAGTTGATAAGGGATATGAGAAATATGTATGTGGTGTTGTAAAAAATTGCCATACAAATTCGAAAGAAATATGTCTCACATGGGAGCAATATGTAAAATGTAAAATGAATCAACTGGCAGAATTAAATGAACATAAGCTTCTTGAGAGCAAAATAAATAATACAAAGAAAGATTTCTTTTTGCACAATTTGGCTAATGCCATTATCACTTTTGAATTAATGGCTGTGAAACCTAGTCGATCAGTTGTTATAGGAAATAATAATTTTCAAGATAATAAAAGCAGCACAAATAACAGAGGTTATATATCTTCAATATTAACAAATTATTAATTTTTTAATAAACTAAATTTTTAAATTAATTCTAATAAAAAAGTTTTTAATCTTTCTTAAATCTTAAATTTGTTTAATTATCAAGCTATATTTTGTATTTGAATTTCTGTGATCATAAAAAACATTTAGCAATAATTATTTTAAAACAGTAATCTATAATTTTATTTAGCAAATATTTATGACAACAAATAAGAACTTTTGTATATTAAAAGTAAATATTGTATGTAAATGTTGTAGGTGCTGCATTTGTGTTGTACAACACTGCCAGAATAGCAACAATTATAATGAAGTACAAAGAGAAAGTATCGTGTGGCAATTATCCCAGTCTACCAAATATCGAAAATGTAGATTTCTCACAACTACATGAAGAAGTACAAAGAACATTTTTAGTTTATTTCATATTTTTACAATTTTTTAATAATAATAATTCAAAAATTTTCTATTTGTATAATCTTAGTTTGACTTTCATCTTAAAGATTTTTTGTCATAAATTTATTAATTTCTTAATCATTTAAGAGCTTTGTTGATTTTAAAGAGGAAACATTTTATTTTTTTGCAGGATGAATGGGAGCTCATATATAATTTTATCTTTGGATATCCACAAATGATAAATGATTGTTTAAAGTGCGAGACGAATTTTTGTATTTATCCACAAGTATTATGCCTATTTTTATCACGATTATGTCAAAAGTTCAGTATCTACTATCGAAGAATCAGAATTTTAACGGTAAGAGAAAAAGCTGAAAGTATGATATTTACTTAGTTATTAAGCTGTATATTTTATGCTTTTTATTCTTAGATATGCCAGATTATATTTTAAATCTTATTTCTTTTTTCTTCAAATTATATTTCATAAATTGCAGGAAGGAGGTGATCATTTGATTTCCAAAATGTTTGCAAGATTGTATATGTTACACTCATTGCAAATTGTACTCGAGAATGCATTAGACATTTTGGGCATCACACCAGTATCGCGAATGTGATATAAAATCGCGAAAAGAAAGATCTAAATAATCTTTATTTAAAAAATAAAAATTTAATAAGATTTTTATAAAATGATAATAAAATATAGTTTGACAATTATATTCATGGACAGATTCTTCTCTTTTATATTGCTATAAAATTTTATTTAAAAAATATTTTAAAGATTATTTAAAAGTTGTTATATTCCATTAGATTTTTTTATATAATATTACATATATATATATATATATATATATATATATATATAATATTTAATTGTTTTAATATTTCCACTCTATCTCAAGATTTTAATTTTCAACTACATACTTTAAATATTTTTTAAATCATAGTACTTCTATCTCTTTACTCTTTTTTTTTATTTTGAGAAATTTCAAAAATATTTCTTTCTCAGCTGTTCAGCTCTATCTTATAAAGTAAAATTGCTTGAGCAAGAAAAGATCAACCAAAAATTATATATATCTAATGCAAACATCGATTTTCCTCAGTCATCAATTATATACAATTTTGATTTCTTTTATAATTTTAAGCAAAGACACTATAACATTTCAATCCTCTCTCGATCTAAATTTACATACGCGAAGAGGGAATCGGGTCCGTTCGGCTTCGCTCGCCTCCGTTCAGCTGCGCTCGTTATCGCTCAGCCCACTGGAAGAGGACGACAACGGCGACGCTGGGCGGCCAGCTGTTTGTTTTGTTTTCGGGCATGAGATTCACGTGACAGCCGGCGGGTGTTGGTGGCGGCACGCGACGTTCACCGCGACGGTTGTTACAGCGGCGGCGATTGGCCGCCGTGGCGCGCTTGCCGCCGCGCACAGCCAATCGCTGCGGCCGTAAGCGCGCGCACCGCCGCGAAGAGCGCTGCTGCCGCCGAAGAGAGCGTTTGACATCGATAAATGCGTGCGAGTGCTCGCGAAGCGCGGAGGTGTCAGGCTGTCGCTCGCTCGCTCGTCCGCTCGTTCGTTCATACGTTCCGAATCGTTCGTGAATCGTCGTTACCGTTATCGTTCGAGTCGTCGCGCATCACGATCGCCGTTTTCGCCGTCGTGGCCGCCGCTCATTCGCTCCACTCGCGTTCGGCATTGTTCGTTGTCCGATCAGCCCGCTCCCACCCCGCCGCCGCCGAGCGCCCCTCCGCCCCCGTGGGAAACCTAGCGCGAGAGAGCTAGCGCTGGGCAGAGTTGATCGTCCACGCAACAAAGTGAACAGGCACTCTTGTCAGTCTCTCTCTCTTGTTCTCTTTTTATTTTTCTCTCGCTCTCTCTCTTTTTATATACATATATATCTTTGTATCCGACTCTCCCTTTTCTTTTTTCGCTTATCTTCGCACACTCCTTTATCACCGTGGCCTGTGCCAAATGTCATCGAGCGGATGTCAGCGTATATATACGTATGTATACGTACGTAAATATACGCAGGGGCGTGAATGTATATTTGTATACGTACATACGTGACGTATATAATGTGTGCATGTACGCTGCCGCGTATGTGTGTATGCATGTATGTGTCATCAAGTAGAGAGACGTATGCATACGGGGCGCCCTGTATGCGCGACGAGGGGATCTCAGCTGGCGCATTCTAGTGGACGTTCGGGTAGAAAGTGCTGTTGCGCGGAGGCAGGTCGCCTGCCGCCTCTCTTTGTTTGCGAGTTATCAGCTGGCGTGTTGCTAGCGCCTCGTAATATAACAATCTCGATCCGCGCAGCAGCAGCAGCAGCAACTGGCTTCGACGAATCCAAATTGTCAGAGAATTCTTTGTTCGAAAATAACGCGCGAAAGAAAGTTTTATTCAAAATCGCCCATAGATAGTGTTGTTTGAGGCTCCCTCCCGTCCTTCCTCGCCCCCTTTCTCGCTTCCTATTGCATATATTCATCGCATTCAATCGTTATGACAGATGGCTTTTCGGTTAACTTTTAAAGTAGCGGATTTTTATATGAATAGAAATCTTGGCGCTCTCTCTCTCTTCTCGCGATATTAAATAGAATCAATTTCTTATAATATTGTCGTGCGAGGTAAAAATCAATTTCAAGTTTGTATCAAAGAATGTGTTATAAATATTCAACGCGGTGAGAAAGCGAGATATCCGGTAATGTATACTAAACATAAATGTCTTTATTTTTTCTTCGATATTCCTTGAATCAATGCGCGCGCGACAGTTTGCTGAAATTCACACACGCGTTCATAATTGAATAACTTGAGAAGTTATTTTTAACAATAAGAAAAATGAAGGAACTAGACAAAATGTCTAAACTCAAAATTACGAGACATAAAGTTCAAATTATTCACCTGGATAAAAAGAGAGATTTATTCTTTTCTTCTTCCTTGCTTTCTTCCCTTTTCTTGATTATCTCGTTTTATATCAGACTTCTATGCTTTCATTTTTTACCTATGCCCTTTTCTTTTTCAGGCAAATGTATACCTTTTTTTTAATGTACAAAATATAACAAACAGAATTTCTTGTAAATAATTTTTATGTTATGATTATTTTGCTTAATTGCACCTTTTTAAAAGACTATTAACATTCGTTGTATAGCTCTTAGTACATCCATGTTATGTAAAATACGGAAAATTAATAAATTTTCTTTAGTTCTGTCTTAATTTTCTATTTATGATCATATACAGATAGTATATCTTTTATCTCATAATACGTTTTTCTCTCTAGTACAAAACACGTTGCGTGATTATTTTTATCTGAAATGGTTTCTTTTTCCATTTATAATTGTTTGAATAATATGTAACTAATGAATATTAAACATACGAAAAAAGTTTACAAAAGGATACTGACACAAATAGGACAAGTATGTAATTCATATTGTCTACACTACAACTATAAAATTTCTTTTTAATTTTTAATTCACGAATTATAGCCTATAATTTTTTTCTTAAAAAATAGAAAGCACATATCAAATAATTTTACTAGGAATATGAGTTTATGAAATATTCCAGGGTATTTTTTTTATTTTTTAGAGACATAATAGTGATGATAGACAAAAATAATCATATAATATTTAATAATTACATATTTAATAATTTATAAAATAATTTATAAAATAAATATTACATAATTAAACACATTAACAAATTATTGTTAAACATTAAAGATAGATTTTTAATAAAAAATTTTTTAAAGATGAATTAATTTTTTTACTATACTTTATTTTTATTTTAACATGTGTTCTTTAGTATCCCTAACAAGAGAATATATCATAAATTATACATTTCTTTTAAACTTACGTGTATATACCACATTTATACATATACATATATATAGTATATTAAAATATTTGCTCTGTATCTCTCTTGTGTAAAGTCACGCGGTCAAGCTTTTTTTCTTAAATTCTAATAAGATCGTAAATGTGCGATAAAGGAGAAAAAATTTTCGTGCGTCTTCCGTATGTTTTTAACTCGTAGGGAATTTCATTTCGAAGCGTATAATAAATTTTGCTTTATCGCAACTTGCTATATTTATCCGTTTATTTCCATCTCTCTCGCTCTCGCTCTGTTTCCGTTTTACTCGCTGTTTATTTTTCTCGCGTTACGCGACCGCGCGTAGGCGTATTCTCTCCTTCGTCCCATCCCGCTTTCTTCTTCCGTCTTCTCGCTCTTTCACTCGTCGTACGATGCTCGCGCTCTGCGTGCATCGTGTATGTGTGCGCGCGTGTGTGTATCACGTTACACGTGTGTGCGCATGTGTGCGGACGCGCGCACGCGCTTGTGTTTACTTGTGCGTATGCGCCGTTCGCGATTGGCTTCTCTCGGCGATTCGAAGCGCAGTTACCTCACGCGGTACTTTGTGGAAGCATTGTGTTGTCGGAGTCGTATACGCGTAATCGCGTTCGCGAGAAGAGAGTGCCGAGTACGATAGACGATGATGATAATTGGTTTTCTCTTGTGTGATCTCTAGTGTAATCGCGGTAAATGTGGTGATACACACGGTGTGGAAGGAGCAGCGGAGAGAGCAAGAGGGGAGAGAAGATACCGTGTGGACCAGGAGGAAGGATAAAACGATTGGGACAATCACGATTGAAAAGGAAACACATCGAGGAACGCGTGGCTTCGTGTTTGGTGATCCGACGATTATTACTACGACCCTATTGTTGATACGACGCTGGGGACGCTCGAAGGGCAGGAGAATTTCACGTGTCGCGCGAAGACGTTCGTCGCTGGCGACATTGTTGACAGTCGGTGATTGACGTTTAACGATCGAAGCAATCAAGCATCCAAGTGGACAAGTTCGTTAATATTGGAATTTCGTGGGAGCGAGTTTTATCAACCGGAGTGAGATTCGACGACCGAGAGGACTCCTGAGGGATCCTCGTTGATTCTTATCGCGCTCGCGACAGGGGAATCGCTGTCCGAGGCTCGGTCGAGAGCAGCAAGCGCGGAGGAAGCTTTTTGCGTATCGGTTCTCGCCGCCGTCGCCGTCGCCGTCGTCGCCGCCGCCGTTGCCGTCCGCGGATCGTGCACGTTCCTCGCTCGGTGCGCGTCGTCATCGTCGTCGCTGGTCGCGCGCGGTGCGCGCAGTTACGTGGCCGAAGGTAACCGAAGCGCGGCGGAATCGCCCGAGGCGGCGCGGCACGGCACGGCGGCCGAAGACATCACGATTACGTATCTCGCGGCCCTCCCCCTTCATTCTCGCCTAGGCGCCCGTCGTACGCGCACGTGCGCGCGCGCGCGGGTGTGTGTGCGTGTGAGTGTACTGCTGCGCGAGTGCGTGCGCCGCCGCCGCCGCGTCCCGTCGCGTGTGTCCCATCGGCTGTGCTCCGGAGCGTGCGGCAGGAGGAGAGGAAGAAAGAGTGAGCGTGAACGGAAGCCGCCAGGATTACGCCAAACCGAGGAAATATGAGCATTGCTGCCCTACTGCAGGCCGCCGAGTACATTGAACGAAGGGAAAGAGGTGAGTGTTCCTCGCGCTTATTCTTTCTCTCTCTCTCGCACGCATATTCTCTCTCTCTCTCTCTCTCTCTCTCTCTCTCTCTCTCTCTCTCTCTTTCGTATCTGATTTAATTTAAATTTCATACGTTTTCCGCTTATCGCGATGTCGACATCTTGGTGATTATAATCGATCGTATCACGCGGGTGAATGTTCAATGTAATGTATGAGAGTTTTTGTACAAGGTGTGCGATGTTATAATTAAATTCCGGTTAAGTTATTAAATCGTGTAAATGTAAAGCAAAGGAAAATTAAAAGTTATTCCACGCGTGTAACTTAATTTTATCGTGACAGGTTTAACTCTCTCACTCTTTAGAAATGTTTAATTACATAAAGTAACGCATTTTTGTAATATAATATTTTTAATATAGCTTTGACGTGTATGTGGTATTTTGTTTACTTAAAGTTGTTATCTGGAATCAACACGTCGGATATTGTTTTATTTCATTAAAAGTTTAAGCATGCTGTTAAAAAAGTTCGAAAAATAAAATTTTGAAATTATCGGTTTTGTTTTTGTTATTAATTCCGATGTGTGTCTGCTTTAAACGTTTTTTTCGCATAACAGTAATTAATCGAATCGCCTATGAAAGTTTATGGTCAAATTCAGCCTCGATCTCTTAAAAAAATACATAGCGTATATTATATATAATTCGAATCTTTCAAATAAATTCTCTTCTTGAGGACGCTTCTATTTGGAATGTATCCCTTTAACGAGAAGTTTGATTTAAAAATACGCTTCATCTCGCCACCGCTATCTTTGTTTTCGTAGTGGATCGTACGCGGCGCGATGATCTCATTTTATCACTCCACTTATAATGCTGCTGCGTCGCACTTAGAGCCGCGTGCATGCGAGGACGCACGTCGTTTTCCGCGCGCGTGCGCACGCGTGTCCCCTCGTGCGTAGTACGACGTTAGATTTCCGAAAGAGCGATCGAATGTTGTCGTTCGCATACGAATTTCGCAAGTTCCAATTTTATGTAACGCTCTTGTGCAAAATAAACGTCGTTTGTGATAATCGAATGTTGTACTATATCGATCGAATTAAAGTAACGCGTAATTTTTTAAACAAGGCATAAAGTCCGCTCGATCTTCTGTAAAATGTCAGATTTTTTAAATATCGTAAATTTGCAGAAACGTACAAATCGGAAAAAAAATATATACCTTATACATAAAAATATATAAATTACTTTATGATCGTGAAATTAAACATGTTTACTTTATAATGAATGCCGAAGAATTATGTATCTAATTTTAATTAAAATGAACCACGAATATTTTTATTGAAATTTTGATGAATTCGCATTTGAATGAAAGTAAAACTGATGTAAATTTAAGAAAGTACGATCCCCAAAGTTTTGTCTCAATTTACCTGTGACCTTTTTATTTATGGAAATTTATTCTAAAGTCTCTATCTATTTTCATCTGATTTCAAGTATCTATCCGTATCTTAATTTAAAGTCAAGCTCTATTTATACAAATATATTCCAATGTATTTATTTTTCAACATCAATTTGATACATTTGCTTACTCCAATTTAATTCTATATCTGTAAAAGTGTAAACATTACACGTGACACTCGAGCAATATGAGCCTAACTCGAAAATACATATTTATTGAATTGAAATAATTGAATGTTTATTTGTTTGAAAAATCACAAAACGAGGCACGATCGTACCTCGATCGGACGTGACTCTTCTGGTATAGTCTAAAACGTGACTTAATATCGGTGCATTCGCGTCTTCACTCGCTCCATAACAAGCTTAACGAGCTTCGAAAGTTTCAACTCTCTCATGAGAGTCACGTTGCGATTTTTCTTATAACGAAATAAGTGCATTGTTTTTGAAGATAAAATTTTATTAGAATAAATTCGTACGATATTAAACATTTTGAAGCTGAAGAGATGACATTTAAAAAAAGACGAGTAATTTTCATATCTCCATTTATTAAGCTTCGCTTATTTTGATTACGTAAAGCTTAGGATATTAATTTTAGAATACTGTATGTAATTTTATATTCTATTTATCGATTTTATCGCTTTATAATTACAGAAGCTGAACATGGCTATGCTTCAACGATGCCAATACCCGATGATATGCGGACGGTTACAAAGAGGCCAAAGACAAAGAAGTCCCAAGGCAGCAGGTTTGTTTGCACAGATATCTTTTTAGAAATGACATTTAGAAATTTATTCAAATTTTATAAGTCGAAATTATTATTTCAATTTTTCCATATGTTAAATTTTGCAACATTAATGATTTTTTTTCCTATTTTCTCACATTAATATAAATTTTTCAAGTACATTTTATATATGAATTGTTTCTACAATGTCATATCTAATTTTCAAACTGTAGAGAAAAATTTTATACAAATATTTCAATTTCATAATGCATTTTCACAATCTTACTGTAACTCGAAAAATTTTATTAAATCGTACTTTTCGAAATCCGGCATCTCATATACAACTCAAAATATTTTCATTTGGCGCAATTAATCGTTTATAATTTATAATAAAATTCAACTACACTATTACATTTATAGCAATAGTGTAGTACACATTCCTATTACACTATTGCTATAAATGCTATTATTATTCCAATTTCAAATTATTTAGCTGCATTTGTAATACGTTTTATCTGATAAATAATCGTCTTTTCGATTTTATATCATGTTTATGTTGTATCAACTAGTCTCGACATTATTATCGTTCAATTTCTGGTCTTATCATAAATCATGTTTTTGAAAGACGAAGATGAAGAGAAAGATGTAACGAACGTGTTTTCTTTTATTTCTTTCAGGACGACTCATAACGAATTGGAGAAAAATAGGTGAGTGTTTTACAAATAAATTAGTAAATGTTTTACTAACAATATATAAGTTGATTAACATATAATTATAACTTATAACTTGTATGAGTTATAATAATTTCATATTTTTTCAATCTTGTACTTCATCCACTCCCACACATTGTGAAAAATAATTTAAATTTAAAAATTTAAATTTGTAACAAAAATGTTTCTTTTTTGTTATCTCAATGAAGCTCGATAAACTCGATGATCTCGATAAACTAATTGATAACATATTAACCGTAAAATACATTTATAAATATCTTTTCTTGTCGGAAGCTACAAATAAATTTAAATATTTGTCAAAGATAAATGATTTAATATATATTAATAATTGATATATTATAATAAATGTTGAAGGAGAGGGACTTCTCATTTGTCCTATAAATTAAATTTATGCAGCGTAAATATATATTTATAAATTCATAATTTATGGAAACCTGTTAGATCAGTATTGGAATGTATTGAAGATATATATATATATATATATATATATATATATATATATATCAAATTATAAATATAAGATTATAAATTATCAGAGAAAAATAATTTAGAGTATTAGAAAAATATTGAAATAAAATCAGAATTTATCAGATATTTAAAATACAATAATATTGTAATATTGTTACATTAATTTTTTTAAAATAAAAAAATGAAATATGTTAGTAGAGATCAATACATTTTGCATTGAAGGGAGATAAAGTAGAGAGGTAGAAAAATAATTGCTGAATATTGGATTTTTAACGTAGCGTTATAATTCGGAGCCGAAAAATGTGAAAACATGCGTAACTACGTTATAAATTAATACAAGGTGTAACAGAGCAAGCGGGTTTTCATATTGGTCGTTTCTGTGTCACGCTACCCCTTGTGTAACTTCTTTTGCTCCCCTTATCCATCTCCCCATCACGATCACTATTCGCACATGGGCTGCTTGGGTATAAAAAAAATCGATAGTTCGCCTGCGACCATCTCGCTTTCTCTTTTATTCTCCAGAGCACTTCTTCTATCCCCTTTTTCTCTCTCTCTTTCTCTCTATACATCGCTGACTAGCGAGAATTTTGACCTTTTTTCCTCCAAATATTTATAGTTTATTTTTCAACACAACATCGAAACAATTTAAAAAATTATCGAAATACGGACGTGTGAGTATAACATGAATATAGATTAATTGCATATTAACTTTTCTTATTTATTTTGCTTATGTTAATATGATGTTTTATGTGTAATTTATATTTCGAACTATTCTTACAATGTAAATTATATTCGATTTTACAGTGATTAATAATATTATATAGAATTACTTTCAATATTTCCATAAATTTGTGGTAAATTTTTTTAAAAATTGAAAGGAGAAAAAAACTGAGATTTTATAGAAAAACGTGATGATATACAATATTAAATATTACTAAATTATTTGTTTTCTTCTAAAGGCATTATATAAAATTGCAGTTCTTTTTTTGAGAATTTAATATTTTTTATATAATAATTTTACTGAAAAATAATAAGTTATAAAAAAATATTTGGAGGCAAGCTGATATTTTTTTAAATTTGTTGTTTATAAAAATTTAGAATTAGCTGTTTATAAAAATTTAGAATCATTTGTTTTTCTTTTTTAAAAAATTAAATTTTTTAATTTATGTTGTTTACATATCTATATTAATAAGTAAATAATGCGCAAGAATGTATTATGTCTGACAGATGTGAAAAACATAGAAGCCGATGACACACTGTTCTAAATTTGGCACATGTTGTGTGGTGGAAATAAATTTACGGCGAATTTTGCACGCGCGCGCGCGAAGTTACTCATATCACACATTAAAATTACGATTAAAATTGAATTATGATGGATTATATTTATGATAGCTATAAAGATACATTTGATATCTTCTTTTGCATTTTATATTCTTTTTTTACATTTTTCTTAGTAGTTTATATTTGTTTAGAAAATTCTACGTTAATTCTACGTTATTATATACGAATTTCTTTTATTTATTGTTTGCCTAATCTTTCTAATTATTGCTTTTAATTAAAAGTCAGCGGTTTATTGATTGAAGATCAGAAAAATACAGTATGAAATTACATATCACTTATACATAACACATTTAAAAGATAAAGAGAATCGAAGAATTTTAGGCTTAAAAGGATTAAAATAATTACATACTTATCGAATTTGTATTTATTACGTTATTAAATACAAAAATTTATTAATTTTATTTGAAATCAACTAAAAATTGGATTAGAGATCTTAAAAAAGTAGGATTTTGTTATTCATCAGTACTATCGATTAACAAGCAAAAGTGATAGCGAATCGTTTAATCGCACGTTATTTATGTAAATCATTATGCAAAATCGTGAGCTTTTCCCGAATATAGGGAGGAGCTATCATCATAGGTCAGCCGGAAACGAAAGCTCAACAAACGGTTACGCGAACGCGAGTGAAAATGGCGTTCGCGAACAGCGCCTGAGGACAGATTCCTGGCCCATTTGAAATGCATTGAATTTTTAAGTGCCATCCTTTGTGCCGCTGCCGCGAGATAGCCAACTTCCGGTTCGGTTCCTCGCTTTTTGGCCTTCCGTTGATTTTTCATAATTTTAACTCAAATCTTTCCCGGTTCACTTCAAATTTAACGCTTTTATGTTTTTAGTGTACTTTTAATTAATTAAATTAATTAATATGTAATAACTCAAATTGAGAAATTTTTATATTTAATAACACGTAAAAAATAAATTCGATAAATTTATGCAATTATAAAAAACTAGCAATAAAAAATTATAAGGCATCCAATTCTATCGATTTTTAATATAATTATTAATTAAATTATGTAACTAAAACAGTTAAAATTAATAGTCAATTTACTATAAATTAACGTTTATAGGTTTTACACATTTCATTTTTAACATTTCGCTTCTTATTTTCGAGATTTTTTGATTACTAATCAAAAATTATTATGATTAAAAATGAAAGCAAATCAAAATTATATCAATTCGAGAGTTATATCAATTCCAAAATAAGCAATAAATCTGTATTTTATTTTACATAATGGAATATAACAGAAGAAAGCATGAATTAAAAACGTCAACGTACGGATCAATTTAAAGAAATTCTATTATATCGACTTTTCAAATTATTGGACAGCAAAAGTTTAATAGACATTGTTTGTATTATTTATTTACTAGCATCAAAATGTTCCAAGAATTAAGAAAGAAATAATTGAAAAAATTTAATTAACGAATCTACGAATATTAATTAGTTTTTAAATCATAAATAAATAATCTCGTGTTTTTGAGGGTAAAAAAAATTGTTAGGTAGAAATGAAGCTGAAATTAACGAGACGATGTAAAAGAGATACAAGATTTTAAAAGCAGAGTTAATTTAAATAATCAAAATTGATATGCGTGCGCGGAACGTGCGTTATATTCTTCTCGAGATGTACAGGGCAGAATGCAGGCTGACTTTGGGGTCAAGGACGACTCGGCGGAGCGTGCACCCTGTGGCACCTCCTTTCATTCTGTAATGTTGGGGAGATGTGCCCGATGTTGTTTAGAGCATCGACCGACCTTGGTTAAAACCGTCTCTATATTTGATCGTTGCATATGCAATGTTAGACTATGAAAGTTCCAGGTTTTATGGTAAAGCGTTCTTGTAAAGTGACCGTCTTTTAACAATCGCGTATTAAATTACATTAATATGACATGATTCTTTTTTTTTTATAAGAGTATGTTCTTTTTGTCTGCAATTTTTTACGTTACGATGCATTTAGAAAATTAGTATAATAATACTGCAAAGTTAGATACGATATAACAAAATTTATTAAAAAATAGAAGGAATTTATATAATTTTAGAAGAGCCACATATATTGATGCGAGAGAAAGAAATTAATATTATTTTACAAAATTTGATATTCAATCTACGAAGCTGAAAATATATTCTTGATTTTTAATTCTTTTCATTTCTTAAACTTGCCATTTCAATCGAAATATACTCATAAAAATAGCTTTTCAGTCTGGGGAACGTGAAGATTATTGAATTTTTTTCAATAACACATTTTTTGTAATAATTTTTTAATAATTTTTTAAATAATTTTTTTAATAATTTGGGGTTTTATCATGTTTCCACACATATATTGTTTCCTTGGAAATTCTTGAGACATTATAAATTCACACTCTCGCGAATAGTTGTTTATTCAATTAGTGCAGCTGTGAAGTGTAAGAAAAATAGGGAGGGTGGAAATGTTTCGTGCACTTTCCACGTAAGGAACGATGCAAGCATTAGAGCCCATAGGCCCTTCGCTTGTCTCGACGTGGCTCTCTGCGACTCACCATTGCCACTTTGAAGCTCGTTCACCTTGAGCTCTCTCGAACAGTGATTCTCATTCCTGCTTATTCATTTTCGTTCATATTACATATCATTGTGACACTATAATTACTCAAATAAGTATTCAGTAGGTATCGTATTTCCTAAAATTGGGATTGCAATGTTAGACTTTGTTGATTGAGAATTAAAGCAAACTTGAAATTTAGCTGTAATCAATTATAGTAATTGGATATTGACTGATTGTTGTTTTTACTTATCATCATTAAAGAGTTAAGTGCATTAGATGTCATAAACATCTTAAATGTAATTTATCAAGATATAAAAAATGCATCGCGTAAAAAATGCATCTGCGATTCAAATCGATGAGAAATGAATTGTCTTAACGCGACTTCTTTACTTTCAAAATTAAAAATTTCACTCGTTAAGAGTCAATAAAAAGATCTTTTTTAATATTATAAATAAGATATATTGACGGGGCATAAAATTGAAATTAATTTTAATACAAAATCGAGAAGTGTCCACGTGTGCTTTTTTTTATATATATATAATTGCCGAATAAAACTGCTGACCATCCTGTTGAAATCATTCGCTCAGTTTTTATGTTCGTATGACATAATGTCAGTATCGTATCCGGACCGGTTGTAAGCGGATACGCGAGACGAGA